TAAGCCCGGCGTTTTCAGAATCCAGTCTCGTTGTAGCCATGCCACGTGCAGTCAAGTCAATCCAGAGTAGTGTCAGTAGCGTAGGATTCCCAGCATGATGCCGAGAAACTCAGCTGCCTTTACCAGTAGTTGCAGGGTCTAGATACACAGCATCGATGTCTCGGCTTAGACAGCAGCCATTGTCAGATGTTCCATAGACAAGACGACGTTTGGCATGTGTGAGGCCAACCCGAAGAACTGTCTGTTATTAGTAAAAGATGGAAGGGAGCTCATCACCGCTGCCGTCAGCAGATGATGTTTGCGGCTGGTCAGATTTTGCGGCGGGAGAGCTGACAATTTGCACGCCTTCTCTTGATAATCATGGTGGTCTTGCGGCTTTTTCCCAACTCTCTCTCCACGCGGCTCTTGAATTCTTCGTCAAGCTGCTTTTTCAGCTTCTCTACAGCGTTTATCTGTCGATCGGTTTCCTGTCGGGCTTTGACCTCCTACTCTCTTAGGAGGACCATACGATGCTATCCCGAGCGGAATGGTTTATGATACGAACAAGGCTCATCTATATAAACAAGCTAAGAGAATATATATATACAGATGCTCTTAAAAAGACGTACACTAAGATTCCAACCCGCCCAACACTCTAATCATGATCGTTTTTTTCACATGGATGGTATTTCAACATTTTTTTCATCTTGGCATTTAGCTGCTCTCAGCCTGCTTCAAAAGACCCTCGAGGTTGATGCTCTTGGGGCGCTCAATGGGCAGACCCAGAGCGCGGTCCCAGATCAGCTGGGCAAGAGGTCCCAGACCACGAGAAACACCAAAGGTGGCAGTGTAGTACAGAGTCTCGTGGAAGCCATAGTGGTGGAACAGCACGCCGGAGCTGCTGTCGACGTTGGGGTAGGGGTTCTTGGTCTTGCCGTGCTTCTTGAGCACCTCGGGGGCGATGCGGCTGTTCTTCTCAACCAGCTGGAAAACGGGGTCCTTGGCAATGGCGGGGCGAGAAGCGGCATAGTCCATGAGGGCCTCGAAACGAGGATCGGGCTTGCGCAGGACGGCGTGGCCGTAGCCGGGCACGACACGGCCGGAGTTGAGGGTAGACCAAAGGTAGTCGTGGACATCCTGCTCGGTGTAGTCGGCGGGGATAGCCTCCTTCATCTGGATGATCCATCGAAGCACCTCCTGGGCGGCAAGGCTGTACCATATTAGCAAGTGATGAAGAGCATGTGAAGAAGACAAGACTTACCCGTGAAGAGGACCGGCCAGACCCTGGAGACCAGCACTGTAAGAAAGGAAGGGGTCGCTGAGGGCGCTGCCAACAAGGTGAGTGGTATGGGCAGACACGTTGCCACCCTCGTGGTCACCGTGCAGAGCGAGGTAGAGACGGAGGAGGTCCTGGAAGTCCTCGTTCTGCTTGCCGCCCTTGCCGAGCATGGCAGCAAAGTTGTAAGACCAATCCTGCTCCAGATCAACCTCGGCGGGGAGAGCACCGCCGCCCTTGTAGGAGTTCTGGTAGATCTTGGCGGCAATGGTGGGCAGCTTGGCGAGCAGCGAGATGCAGTCGTCAAAGGTGGGCTCCCAGTAGTCGGCCTTGTTGAGGCCCTGCTCGTAGGCCTTTGCAAACTTGGACTCGTAGTTGAGGGCCGAGACGGCAATGGCAAACTGGGTCATGGGGTGCAGGTCCTTGGGGAAGTCGTCGAGCATCTTGTTGACAAAGGCCGGGAGCTGGGCCTTGGAGGCGAGCTCGCGCGACAACTGGCGCACCTGGTTGACGGAGGGCACCTGGCCGGTCAGCAGCAGCCAGAACATGGACTCGGGCAGCATCTCGGTGCCCGTCTTGCCCTTGGGCAGCTCCTTCTGGCAGTCCTTGATGGTGCGGCCGTGGAAGCGGATGCCCTCGTTGGCGTCGAGGACGGAGCCCTCCCAGACCATGGCCTTGAGCCCGCGCATGCCGCCGAGCGTGTTCTCGACCTTGACCTCGCCAATGACCTTTGAGCCGTGGGCCTTGACCTTCTTGAGCAGCTCACGCTTGGCGGGGATCACGTCCTTGAGGACCGTCTTGAGGTCGGGCTCGGCGGTGGAGTAGCATCGTGCGGCGTTGGCGAGCAGGGCGGCACGGGTGTAGGGCTGTGACGGAGTCAATTGAGAGTGTCCAGAGCTGAATTGATGCTGTCTTGACCAACCTTGAACGAGCGCAGGGCCCGGGCAGACGTGGTGAGGTTGAGAGCCATGGTTGATGCAGATGAAGTTGAGCCGAAGCTGGGATGGCGGGGCAGCCGGTTAGCTATAAGTACCCATCTGTAGCACATGCCATCGCCTATAATCTGGGGAAGGGACATGCAAGGAAATGCACTTACAGCTTCTGATCCTCACACAACAAAGATGATAAAGAGAACAAGGAAAAAAGAACAAGAAGAGAAGAGATAAACCCCAGTCTCGGCAACAAAAAAAAACTTTCTCCAAACTCCCCCGGTCCATATCCCCGAGGAAGTACTAAAGTACTAAATCGTCTGCAAACACGCCCAAACAGCAGCTTCGGCCACCTCGTCCGTCACCGCTTTCAAACAGCCGAAGAAAGCCGTCGCCGCTCGGCCCGCCGGTAGCCCCGCGGCTGCTGATTGGCCAATTTGGCCTGCATCGGCCCTCAGTCTGGGTGTCTGGGGTGCAGCCGAATCAGCTCTTTTGCCTCGCTTTGAAATAAGAAAATTAAATAAATGAGATCAATATGCTGTGAGGATATGACGTGGAGATAAAAAAAAAAAGATATCAAAATATAAATTCACAACTCCGCGTTCTTCTTTTGTTTTTGCCTCGGTAAACGCGAATAAAGGGCATCGACTTTAGTTCAGCTCCCTCTGTATTTCGCCTTCTACACACACAACAGCATCACGATGATGCGAATAGCTTCAAGAGCTCCTCAGCGGGCGAGCGCTCTCATCTCCTCCTCCGCCTCAGTCGCCCTCCGCCGAACCGTCCCACGCGCCGTTGCCATCCGCGCCATCGCAACCACCGCCCGCATGGCTGCCTCAGCGCCCTCTCAGTCCCTCCCACCGGCCGATTCATACCAGCTGCTGCCCGAGGCGCAAAAGGCCGGCGCGGCTGAAGATGCGCTGTACGAGGCCCAGGTCAAGGAGATTGAGGAGTGGTGGGCGTCTCCGCGGTTTGCAGGCATTCGACGCCCGTACAGCGCCGCAGACGTGGCCTCGAAGCGCGGCAGCCAGTACTTTAAGTATCCCAGCTCCGTCATGGCCACCAAGCTCTTCAACCTGATCCGCGAGCGTGAGGCCAAGGGCGAGCCCATCCACACGAGTAAGTCGAGGAAAGCAGCGTAAGACACGAAACAGAAAGACTGACTGCTGCCAGTGGGCGCCATCGACCCCGTCCAGATGACCCAGCAAGCCCCCCATCAAGAGGTCCTCTACATCTCCGGCTGGGCCTGCTCCTCGGTCCTCACCAGCACAAACGAAGTGTCCCCCGACTTTGGCGACTACCCTTACAACACCGTCCCCAACCAGGTCCAGCGCCTCGCCAAGGCCCAGTCCATGCACGACCGCAAGCAGTGGGACACGCGCCGCAAGTTGACCCCCGAGGAGCGCTCCAAGACGCCCTACACGGACTACCTGCGCCCCATCATCGCCGACGGTGACACCGGCCACGGCGGCCTCTCTGCTGTGCTCAAGCTGGCCAAGCTGTTTGCCGAGAACGGCGCGGCGGCAGTGCACTTTGAGGACCAGCTGCACGGCGGCAAGAAGTGCGGCCACCTGGCGGGCAAGGTGCTGGTGCCTACGGGCGAGCACATCAACCGTCTCAACGCCGCCCGTTTCCAGTGGGACGTCATGGGCTCCGAGAACCTGGTCATTGCCCGCACCGACTCCGAGTCCGGCCGCCTCATCTCGTCGGCCATTGACGTCCGCGACCACGAGTTCATCCTCGGCATCGCAGACCCCTCCATCGAGCCCCTCGCCGAGACGCTGCAGAGCATGGAGGCCAGGGGCGCCACCGGCGCGGAAATCGACGTCTTCGAGGCCAAATGGGTCAAGAGCAGCACGCTGGTCACCTTTGACGAGGCTGCCGTCGCGCACATGAAGAAGGAGGGCGTCTCGCAGGCCAAGATTGACGAGTATCTCTCCGCCACGGCCCTGGACCGCGACATGGGCATCTCGCGCCGCCGCGCCCTCGCCTCGCAGTTCACCGAGACGCCCGTCTACTTCAACTGGGACGTCCCGCGCACGCGCGAAGGCTACTACCACTTCAAGGCCGGCATGGAGGCCGCCACCAAGCGCGCGCTGGCATTTGCCCCCTACGCCGACCTCCTCTGGGTCGAGACGGGCGATCCCAACGTCGAGGTGGCCGCCAAGCTGGGCCGCGCCGTGCGCTCCGCCAACCCCGGAAAGTCGCTCGTTTACAACCTCTCCCCGTCGTTCAACTGGATGGCCCACGGCTTCTCCGAGGAGAAGCTCAAGTCGTTCATCTGGGACATTGCCAAGGAAGGCTTCACGCTGCAGCTCATCTCCCTGGCGGGCCTGCACTCGACGGCCACAATCACAAACGAGCTGGCCAAGAAGTTCAAGACGGACGGCATGAAGGCGTATGTGGAGATTGTGCAGAGGCGGGAGAAGGAGCTTGGCTGCGACGTCTTGACGCACCAGAAGTGGAGTGGCGCGAGCTACATTGATGGCATTTTGGGAGCCATCCAGAGCGGCAACTCGAGCAGCCGGAGCATGGGAGAGGGCAACACTGAAGGCCAGTTTGACTAAACACAAGGAATAAGGAAAAAGAAGGAAAAAAATTCGAAAACTAGAATAGAAAATTAAGAGAGGAAAGAACATGTAGATATAGCATAAGTGTGACATTTGGGCGGAGTTGGGCATATACATGCATGTAAATATATTGGTTTCATATACACTTGACATGAGAATCGTTTACTTGCCAGATATAGGTTTGTAACTCAATTCATGCAATTTGATTATTCTATTTTATCCCTATCCCTCTGCCAGCGTCTCCATCTAGTCCAAAGACGTCTTTGAAGCATTGTTCGTCGGCGCCGGTGCCGCAGGTCCCTCGGCCGTCACATACGCCTTGCTCATACCGCCATCCACCACAAAATCACTTCCATTCACAAAGCTCGCCTCGTCACTCGCCAAAAACACCACCGCATGCGCCTGCTCCACCGCCTCGCCAAATCTTCCAGTCGGGAAGTGAATCTCGCGGCGCTGGCGCTTGGGCTTGTCGTCGCCCAGCCAGTCCTGCAGCAGCGGCGTGTTCAGGGGCGCCGGGCACAGGCTGTTGAAGCGGAAGCCCTCGCGGGCGTGCACCATGGCCAGCTCGCGCGTCAGGGCCAGCACGGCGCCCTTTGACGCCGTGTAGGCCAGCTGGGGCGTGGCAGCACCGACGAGGGCGACGACGGAGGCGGTGTTGATGACGGAGCCCTTGGTCTTGTTGTTGCGGCGCAGGGCCAGGACGGCGTGCTTGCAGCCGAACCAGACGCCCTTGACGTTGATGTTGTGGGTGAGGTCCCAGATGGCCTCGGGGGTGTTAATGGCGTCGTCATCGTTGGCGTGCATGATGCCGGCGTTGTTGAAGATGACGTCGAGGCCGCCCCAGGCGTCGAGGGACTCGATCATGGCCTGGACGTCGGCCTCTTTGGAGACGTCGCATTTCTGTCAAGATGTGAGTAAGCTGTATGCTTCAGGGTAATGTGTAACCATCGTGACTTACTCGGGTCTCCAGGCGAGGGGCTGAGGGGACGAGCTCCTTGACCTTGGCGACGGCCTTTTCCAGGGCGGGCTCGGAGATGTCGGCCAGCAGGACATTGGCGCCCTCTTTGGCGAAGAGAATGGCCGTCTCGAGGCCAATGCCGCTGTATGAACCAGGGGATGTCAGCAAACATTCTGTCTGTCGGTCAAGAAGAGAGATGAAAGCACAATCTCACCCCGCGGCACCGGTGATGATGGCGTTTTTGCCAGCCAGACGTCCAACCATGATTGATGAATGTGACTTGCTGTGTTTTATGAAGTCTGAGGAGAGGGAAGATGCAAAAGAGAGAGAGAGCTGGCGCCAAAGGCGAGGTTGAGGTTGAGATTGGGTTTTATCTTGGGACGCAACGCAAGGGGTGGAGCGGCCATCTGATCAGATGTTGCCGTAATCTGTCGTACCTGACTCTGGGCCTCAATGGTGGGGTTTTGGCCGTGTCCGGAGAAGGCTCGAGGGCCTTGAGTAGCCGCGGCCATCCATTGGAATTGTGGAATATGATATGGACAAGGCTTCTTTCTACTGTATAAACTAGCTGCTGCTACTTGGACGCCGCTGCGACGACGCTCAGGGGCGCGCAGCTGCCGATGCCCAGCATTACTGCATCCGTACAAGCATCGCGGCGCCCTATCGCGACAGCACTGTGGCAGTTGCTAGAAAACTTCCCAAAGCACGCCTAGCAGCGAGGCTGGCGCTGGTTGATGGACCACTTCCCCATGCCGGTGGGCGCGAGACGAGCGTTTAGTGGCCCGGGCGGGCAAAGTATGACATGCCCGGCTCCATCAGAGGGAGGGGACCCCTAGATTTGCGTTGGAGGGGCTCCGACAGCGGTGATGGCGGGGTTGCAAATGCTGTGCTGATACAGATGCTGAGTTGGAGGCTTGTGATGATAATGCTGTGATGTGTAGATGGTCAAATATCAGCCTACCTTATATACCTGATAGCATATCACCAGCGATACATGTACTAGACCGCATACATATACACACACACATTTCAACCCGCAGCCATCAAATACATGGTATCATATAGGATGCATCCAGTACATGCAAGCGCAAGATAACAACAGCATGACTCGATCCGCTTCTCCAAATGATAACGACTTGGCCGTTGCGGCTAGCTTCAACCCGGTTCCTGTTTTTCCCCTCCTCCACGGCCAGTGCCTCAATCAGCAGCCCAGCTGGCCTGAGCCGCGGCCGAAATGCCCCGCAGTCTGGAATTCCCCTCCAAATGCACCGCATCATAGGCCTGTGCCGTCTCCAACACAGACCAAGGGATCTCCAGTCAATGCTTGTCTTTGCGCCAGAGAAGCTCTAGTTTGCGATACGTAATTTGAAACAGCTTGCGAGATCCGAGACTACGACGATTACAGCGGACAGTAATCTAGTAATTCCTGGCTCTGGGCGCGTGCGATTCTTTTTCGTTCGAATCGAGTCTTGGGCGATCGATCGGCGCATCGTCGCATTGCACTCAACTGCTGTTCCTGGATTTCCACCTCTCTCTGACTTGTCAACCACTTCAGCACCATCACCGCCGTGTTCTCGTCTCTCAACCCGTCTCCAGCTACAACAACCTCCTCTCAACAGGATACTACTCGACTCTTCATCATTCCCTCTCCTCTCCACCACTCCTTCAACATGGCCAAACCCGCCCTCACAGCAGATTCCCTCGAAGCCCTCCTCGAGCACGACTCCAAAGTCAAGCTCGCCGGCCTCGACGTCGACGGCATCCTGCGCGGCAAGCTCGTCTCCAAGAAGAAGTTCCTCTCCATCGCCACCGCCGGCTTTGGCTTCTGCTCCGTCATCTTTGGCTGGGACATGCACGACATGACCTACGTGCGCGAGCTCAAGATTTCAAACGCGGAGAATGGCTACCGCGACCTGCTGGCGATTCCGGACCTGCAAAGCTTCCGCAGGATACCGTGGGAGAACAACGTGCCCTTCTTCCTGATTACGTTCCACGACCCGGACACGAAGCTGCCAATCTGCGCATGTCCGCGCGGGCTGTTGCAGACGCAGCTAGACCGGTTGCGCCAAAAGGGCTACGGCGCCATGGCTGGAGGTGAGCGGAATTTCTTCTATAAAGAAGTTTGAACATCATATTAACCTCTCATCATCTCTAGCTGAATACGAATTCTACACGTTCCAAACCCCAGACTCCGCCTCCTCGCCCGCCGCCTTCCTCCAAAACAACCCGACGCACCAGCTCCCCTCGCTCACAGAGGGCATGTTTGGCTACTCCCTCACGCGCCCCGTCCACAACAAGGACTGGTACTACGACGTCTTCGACACCTGCGACAAGTTCTCCTGTGACATCGAGGGCTGGCACACCGAGTCCGGCCCGGGCGTCTTCGAGGCCGCGCTCGAGTTTGGCGAGGCCGCGCAGATGGCCGACCGCGCCAGCCTGTTCAAGTACGTCGTCAAGAGCGTCGGCGCCCAGCCCCAGCACCGCATCACGCCGTGCTTCATGGCCAAGCCCAAGCAGGGCCTGCCCGGCAACAGCGGCCACATGCACGTGTCCATCGTCGACGAGAGCGGCAAGAACCTGCTGGCGAGGGAGACGGTCGACGAGAACGCGCCGTGGAAGGACATTGCCGGCCTGTCGGATCTGGGCCGCCACTTCTTGGCCGGTGTGCTGGAGGGCCTCCCCGACATCATGCCCATCCTCGCGCCGACCATCAACTCGTACAAGCGGCTGGTCGAGAACTTTTGGGCGCCCGTCACCGTCTCGTGGGGCCTGGAGCATCGCGCTGCCTCGATCCGCATCATCGCGCCACCCACGGCCAAGGCCTCGGCCACGCGCTTCGAGATTCGAGTTCCCGGCGCTGATACAAACCCGCACTATGTGCTCGCTGCTGTCTTGGCCTGCGGTTGGCGCGGCGTGGAGAAGAAGCTCGAGATCCCGTGTCCGCCGCTGGCCATGGGCGAGAATGTCGGCGGCTCCTCAGATAGGGGCGCGCGGCTGGCCAAGAGTCTGCGAGAGGCGACGGCCAAGTTTATGGCCAAGGACAGCATCGCAAGAGAGGTGCTTGGAGATGATTTCGTAGACCACTTTGGCGGCACCAGGGAGCATGAGATTCGGCTGTTTGACGAGGCCGTTACGGATTGGTAAGAGATCCTCTCAATCGTTTTGTAGACTGTCACTAACTGTCCACAGGGAGATGAAGCGGTATATCGAGTCCGTGTAAGGGTGTAAGAGGCGAAAGGGTATATATATATATGTGTGTGTAAGTGGTATGGTGGCAAATATGAATTGCTGCATAGATGCGTGTGATTTCCGACAGCAAGAGACGTAGATACCAGCGGGGACTGTAGCTAGACTTGCTTTTTTCTTTTCTTCAGATAGCTGAACCCTGTATTAGCGTGCCCTTTTTTGCAATGATTCGTCGTCCCTTTTGGTTCTTGCGAGGCCATGTACTTTGGTCTCTCGTTTTGTGTCTTGTTGCGAGACTGTGTTAGAGAGTTCTGCTCTTTTCAGAAGGTTTTCTTGCCGATATAAATGTTCTGTCACGAGTTCAAAGTCAGCGTCACACATAGACTCTGGAATAAAAGGCCACCATCACACATACACTTTGATGCAGCTCCTCAGCAGCGGATCGTTGTACTCCTCCATGACCCTCCCCAGCAAGTCCCGCGTCTTCTCCTCCTCCCAGCCGGCAAGCCCAAACATCCTCAGCGTCCAGTGATCGCAGCCCGGAGCAAGCATCTTGTTCAGAATCTCGCCCTTTTTATTCGTCACCGGATCTCGTGCCCAGTTGCGCACCGGCAGCCAATCCGACCGCTCTCGCACGCTCTCCGCGCCAACTTCCACCAGCCACGGCCTCACCTTGGGCGTCGGATCGAAATCAATCCCCTGCGCGGCCGAAATCTCCGCAAAGACGGCGCCGTACTCTATCGCCGCGGCGCCAACGTCGGCCCGGGGCTTTTCAACGTCGCCGCCGGAAGACGCATCCGAGGGCGTCTCGGCCAGCGGGTCCGGGTCGACGGCGAAGAAGAGCGGCGTGACCTCGGTGAACTCGAGCTGCCCTCCCGGCTTGAGGTGGTCAAAGGCCTGGACGATGAGGCGCTTCCAGTCGCGGATGCCGCCGCCCACGAGGTTCCGCAGGTGGATAAAGTCGTACAGCCGCGGCGGCCATTGCTCGGCGGCGTCGGCAATCTCAAAGGTCAGGTTCGGGGGCACCTCCTTGGGCAGGTTGGCGCTGCTCAGCTCGATGCCCAGCACGTCGACGAGCGGGTTCGTCTGCGCCATCTCCATGGCCCAGTGGCCGCCGCCGCAGCCGACGTCGAGCACGTGGAAGGGCGAAGACTCGGCGTCGAGCTTGTCCAGGGGCAGCTTGGAAAAGGTCAGGGCGCCGCCGAGGCACAGCGTGAAGAGCTCGTGCTGGTGGCCCTGGCGCGCGTTCTCGTGGCGGTCGTTGGGCGTGACCATGCGGCCGGAGCCGTGGTAGACGTGGCCGTAGGCGTGGATGGGCGGCAGGGCGTCCTCCGAGGCGGTCGAGTAGTTGGAGTTGGAGTCGCTGGCCGTGGCGTCGTCGTCGTCGAGCTCTTCGTCGTCTTCGTCTTCGTCTTGTTGTATCTCTTCTCGGCCTTCTTCAGCCTCACCTTGTCTCTCTTCTCCTTCTTCAGCGTCTTCACCTTCTTCATGTAGACGATGGACGTCTTCAACGCCCGAGTCGTCGGCTGGTGGCATATTTGTGGCTGCCATCTTGAGTTGAGCTGATCTTTTGAAAGTTGCAGATACTCAGCAAGCTTCGACGTTGTCTGCTCTCCCCTGTTCAGCCACTCTCTAGTCCTTGTCCCCGATCTTTATCTCTATCTCTATCCCTGGGCCTCACTTCAGTCTCGTCTCAACCCCCTTTGGGCGTCTTCGGTGTGCCGCCCGCTACGACTAGCAGTAGGTACTAGGCAATTGACAGTGGGATTGATGTGGAGCGACGCGGCTGGACTACCACCCGCCCCAATTTAGACAAAACCTGGAGCCGCGAGCTTGTCCAATTTTATTTTATTAGTCTTGTCGTCGCCGTTTGTATTTCTGTTGTATACAACTGCGATTTGTCTGAGGTTGGAATTGAGAGCCGGGGAGCAACTGGGTAGTAATAGCACAACGGCAGCCCTTTCTCACACCCCCTTGCTCCTTGGCGAAAAAAGGAAAAAAAAATATGATCAAGACAGACAGGCAAGGCTGGTCAGTGTCTCCACGTGGCGACTATGCTCAGCTTGAACAGCCCGTCAGGTGATGTGAGCAGCGTGAGATGACAGTCAAGACCCTGGTAGATGCAACTTTGTGTGTGTTAACCAGGGCTGATCAGGTACAGTACATGTAGATGGCAGTACTACAAGGTGGTACTTGTAGCAATACTAGAAGGTAATACTTGTATTAGTATTTGGTGAGATCTTTCAGGCGGTACCTTTGTCCGTCAATTAATTGAACAAGAGACAATTGCCTGGTTCCAATCTCCAGCGGTGATAATGAGCAGCGGCAGACCGGCTAAGAATAGACTGGGTCGCGAGGAGCGAGATGAAGAGAGAGAACCGACTTATTGGAAGCCAGGAGTTGGATGTGGCCAATGGCCTGTCTTGACTGAGATCGAAAGGCAGCAGTTGTCGCTTGCTATTGAGCTGATGGAAATGGGGAGCCCAAAATGTGCCTGATAACACAAAATTGTTTGTTAATCGAAGGAATAAATAAGAAAGACTAGATAATATCGATCTTTTTTAAGAGGAAGGGACAGAAAGAGGAAGAGACAGAATTTGGAAGACCATTGCAGAAAAAGAAAAAAAGGTCAAGGACGGAAGAAGGACGGAACAGAAATGGAAAAAGGAAAAAAAAAAGTTAATTAAAATAGATTAAATAAAAAGCCACGTCAAAAATACGATAAATGAACCAAAAAAAAAAAAGTGAGACCCCAATCCCGCGTCAAATCATGAGCGATACAGACAGGGGGTTGCTGCAGAAAAGGCCCGTCGTCGCCTATCAGCCCCAGGGGGAAAATCGGGCAAAGTACCCTTTGTTTTTTTTTTTTTTTTGTTTTTTTGTTGCTAGAGATTTTGATTTTTTTTTTGACAGCCCGGCACAGGGATTATCCCTTTTTTTTTTTTGTCTGTTCATTGGCCGACGAGATGGCTCGCTGACGGTATTGAAGGCTGCTTACCCTTTTTGCCGTTTATTACATGTACCTAGACAGGGCCATCTCCATCTACATCTACATCTACATCTGCAACAGTCAACCTCCTTGTCGCCTATGACCTAACCGTAATAAAATCTAAACATGTATCCATGCTGCCGTGTACTTGTAAATGACATGTCTACTGCTGTTGGTCGCCAAGCTGGCCCTCGTAGCAAATGATGGAATCAAACCCATCCGCCCGGTTTCATTACCCAATCTCTCCTCTTCCCTCGGCATCAAGATGAGACAAGCCGTCTTTTCCCTTCGCTTCTCTGTCCTTCCGTCTCTCTTGCTCCAGTCACAGTCAGCAGAATCCCCGCCAGTAGCTCGGCCTAATAGGTGCATTGCATCTTGTTGTCTCACGTTGGAGGAAAAAGAGACTCCATCACCGCGCAGCGTGCATCATCATAGCGGTCCGTTCTCTCATCCTTCCGGCTATTGCTTGGCCCGGCTATTGCAAGTCCGTCTGCCGCTGCAACGCTGGGGGGAGGATTGCTACTGTACAGTATCGATGGGAACTTCTTCAGACAAAACCATCAATCTTGGTGTGTCCAGTTCCCCACGCCTGGTTAAGCGAATGCGGTCAACGTCTGATGATAACTAAACCAGCACACCTCGCAACTATGAGGCATACCAACCTTGCTGCCGTAGTTGCAAAGGTATACAATAGGCATAGCGAGCAAGAGAGTTCGTCCTAAACTCTGCTACCTTGCCCAAGTAGGCATTCTACGCGCTCGGCCAACAACATCTCACAATTCACCTGCATGTGATATCACTTTTCAATCCGATACAAACTCCAAACTCATCCAACAACAGACAACACCATCCATCGCCTCCAAGCCATCAACCAACTGCAGGAAAGCAGAAAAAGCATCCGCCGGAGATGGATCCTAGTGGCTGCCATCTCATCCTCTCTGCTCTTCCGTCCACCCATAAAGAGAGCACATGCGTGATATGCACGCCCTAGATGCACTGCAACCATAGTTAGTCAGGGGGCCTGTATCTCCCAGTCCCTAACGGGGGATTGCATCCGCCCGTTGGCTGGACCGTCCCATGCGGTTCAAGCCGTTGCTGCATATCCTGCCAAACCGGACCGGGGCCCTTCCGCCAGAACAAACCCGTTGGAAGGGGGCTTTTGACGTATGGACTTTGGACAATGACGCGCGGCGGTCCGTAGCCAAGGAGCCAGATGGATTTTCCGAAACCAATGGTATGGAGCAGAGGCGTATTTTTCTCTTCTTCTATCTCTGTGCCGCTGTCAAACTCGGCCCCCTTTCAAAAAATCTCCGCGTTTTGAGACTCTTGTCACAGGGAGACAGCTCCCGCGCTCCATAATAACGGGCGAGTGTGCTATGTAGCAACTACTACAGCAAACCCGCAATCAAGCAGCTCCATGGCTCGCGAATATGCACATAAGACAAGACTCTCAATCCAACCACATCATGCACATCACTGCTTACAAAGAAGCGCAAATGCTACGATGACATTGTGCTACAAGCAGCATAGTATCTCTCTATCAGACTGCTATTACTGGCCACCAGCAGGCTAGACTCATGTAAAGCCTTGACTTGCTGTTAGGACAATACAAGGCAATACAAATGCAGATAAGACCACGTCGACCACAGCCGCCCCCAAAGATAAAATGTCGCTGCCTATGCACTGGAGATGGCCTGTTTTGGTGATTCCAAATACCCTACAATAAGAAAGCAGGAAGATTGAGCCCCAATTGCAAATAATTAGTGATAGAACGAGTATTCCACACTGAAAAATAAATTAAGCAGCCTTACACAAAAGGGATATTGCATCTCAAGTCAATGAACTCGGAGACATGTGGCGAATGATCATTACACATCCCCTTCTGTAATCAATTGCAAAAAGTTCAACTACAACAACCCTCACAAACGTTGAAAAAAAGGCTCCAATCATTGACATGCACACTTGTGATCAATTCCACAAAATCAATTCCAAAATAACAAACTACAACCCTCACAAAACATGTAAAAAAAAAAGGCTCCAATAAAACATCTCCCAAGGCAACGTTATCCCATCATACAACAGTATCATGACAGACCACTCAATATCAAAATCACAAAATACCACCATCAGTCGCAACCTTCCAATGCACCTCCGGCCTCGCCGTCTTGGCATCGAAACACCAAGCCCCAGTTCCCACGACACAATAATCCAACAAGTTGCACGACGCAAAACAGGGCTCCATATTCCTCTTCTTGTCCAAACGGGACTCGCTCAGACTCACGTATGCCGGAACCCACCGCAATCCAACGCAAGTGTGTACCGTCCGGCCTGATACCTTGGGTAGTATTGTCTGTCTTACTCAGGGCACATGCTATTGCCATGGAATATATTTGTCTCTGTGGCCTCGCCAATGCAAGTCATCCTGGTAGGATACTACCTGCTTAGGTAGGCAAGTCCCAGGAGCAACAACCACATACAACGATAGCACGGGCACGCTCATCTTCAACATTAGCCTCGGATATACAATAGACATGATGATACACGAAGCAAACCAAGAGCACGAATCAAAGCCATAAGCGCGCGGTAGATGATAGAACAAGCAGTGATTGCATTTATTAGTTTCCTCCGACCTGGTCTCCCAAAAAACGCCGATGCTATGACGTATCATAATATAACAAGAATCTTAAACCTCCGCCATATCGCCCCCCACCTTGACATACCCTCCATGATTCCCTCGGGGACAAACATAAAAAGAGAAAAGGGTGGCAAAAGCCAAATAACGCTGATACAAAAATGGGCTCGGTTGCCCTGTGAATCTTCCTCGGCTGTGAGTCTTCCCTCTAGGCTGGACACGTAATCTGACCAGACCCCAGCCTCATTTCTCTCCCCTCTCACACTCATTCCATCCATAGGTAGTTCATCCCAACTTCATCCAAGCATTCCATCATTAAAAACAATGCGGTAGGCAGACAAAGCTGGATTCCGCAACAAAAGAAGCATGCCATGCCTGCCAAATGATGCAAAGAAGCATATCAATCCTCGCAAGGAAAAAGGGAAAAAAAAAAAAAAGCAATCCTCTCCACCCATGTAGTCGGAAGCGATCAAAAGCTTTCGCTTTAGCCATATCGACCATTTTATGCTGTATCTGTCTTTCTTCACTTCTTTCTGCTGAACCAGTTCGATCTTGGCAAATATAGTTTCAACTTGCCTGGGTATGGTCTAGATCAAATGAAAAAGCTCAATTGTGCTCTTCAATCCCGTCAACGAGTGCGAGTACTGCGTGTCACAAAAGGCTCATGAGTCCTTCCGCCGTTTTCTACCACTACCACGGCCGTCTGAGTGATCGTCGTCCGGAACGTATTCTTCTGGGTGGAAATCGGGGTTGCCATAGTGCGCCTTGTTCCACACGCTGTTCTTAAAAGTAGTGCTCCTCGGTGCTTGATCGACTGGCTCTCTAACGGTAGTGGTCCTACTCTCGTCATACTCCAGCTGGAAGGGGTTAAACACTATGCGGTATCCGGGAGTGTGATCCGCTGGCCGCACATTCGGAACAAGCCCAGAAAGGTGGCTGCTGCTGCTGCTGTTGCTCCTGATACTTGTGGCGTTCATCATTGTCGGACTAGGCGTCATGGAGGCACTGGGAGTCATTGGAGCCGGCGAGACCACAGGGGGGAATGAGGGCGGCGGTTGCTGCTGTGGAACCTGAGAGGGCACGGGCTCGGGAAATGGCGTCCCCCAAGAAGCTTGCTGTTGCGACGATACATAGTGGTCGTCAACAGGACTGGCCATGGGCGTCGTCATGGGAGATATTTCGGGCATGGTAGTCATCGGGCCCAGCGAGTTCATGCTGAAGCCAGGTAGCATGGAAAGGATATCCATGTTGGCTCCGGGGAAGCCCGCCGAGCCGCCAGGAGCCGCATGGATGGCAAGATTGTTAGAGAGGCTAGAAACTCGGTTTACCTGTACATCAGCAGCATTGGAGGGAAAAGCCGACGGAGCCTGGACGGGCGTGCGGTACAGGATATCGTAGTGGTCGGGGCGATAGAGCAGGTATATCGTAGGTCCCAGGGCTGCCGGATCCTGCTCGTTGGCCTCTTCCGGGAAGCGGTAGCGGTTAACTTGGCTGCCTGGGCTGCGGTCCAGGTATGCAACCTCCAAAACGAAGTCGATTGGCTTGAGGAGCAGGTTGGCCAGGCCAACGATGCCCAGGTGCTCAATCTCACGGTTGACAATATCAATTGCCTGCGAGCAGTATGCCGCAATTCCTCCATGGTCGGCAACGAAGGGGTCGTAGACGGCTGCATTTCCCTTGAGATAGGTGGCGGCCAGCATGCGGAAGTAGTAGATGATGTTTGCCTCGACGGTGTTGTCGTTGAAACGCTGAAGCAGGATCACTCGGGCCAGGCCCGGGTTTGCGATGTTAGCAGCAAGATCTCGCAGCAAGCCGTGAGCCTCTTCGGCAAAGTCTTCGTGGTATTCGTAGCGGCCAATGTTGGAGAGCATGGAGCCGAGGCTCATGAGACGGGCCACCTCGCCTTCGATCCGGGCCTGGTCTCCGAGGTCGATGAGCTTTTCGTAGTAGGCGAATGCGATTGCTGGAGAAACTTGTCATTAGCTGGGGTATAAAGAAGAGCAGGCTAGGCTCGACTCACCGCGCCATCCGCAGTTACCATCGCCCTTGATCTGGCGATAGTGGGAGTAGGTCTGGGGCAGAGCCTATGAAGTGGGGAAACGAGCAGTCAGCATCAGCAGTTCTCATGACATGTCATCCATCTATCCTCGTGCGTCTCTTCTTGTGTTCTGTGGTTTGTTGCCTTCTGGTCTCAATCCAGCTCGCCTTTCGCAATGTTCACAGGTTCTCATTCGACTGCACGAGGATGAGGGACGAAGAGGGACAAGGGAGACAAACAATGGTCTTTTCGACGTATACCGGGTCGGCTTTGGCGTATTCCTGGGTGATGGCGTCGCTCGGGGTCTTTTCGCCGACAAACGGTCCCTGTTGGAAGCAGAAGACGTTAGCAATGCCGTCTTTTCCTCTGGGTATCCTTTCATTCGCTCAGCAGCTCCTCTCCTGCGGCTGCTGCGAAACAGCCTAGAGATGCTATCCACTTTCCACTGATTGTTTCTCTCTCTCGACAAGTTCTACGCACCTCGAGGCCTGGCTGGAATCGCTCGGCCGCCGCCTGCTGCGCGGCCATGTCGTGCAGGCCGGCGTCCTGGTCCTCCATCTTGATGACGGGGCTGCCGCTTCGATTGAGTCGCTGTCGCAGGGCAAATTGCTGGTGATGCTGCTGCTGGTGGTGTTGTAGAGCCGGCTGCGGAGACGAAGAGCTGTAGGGCGGGTAAACTGGAAAGCCACCGCTCGATGCACCAGCACCAGCGCCAGCTCCGCCAGTGGGGAACAGAAAGTCGAGGCTGTGGGGAGCTGCTGCCGCTATGCCATAGGGGAAGGGCGAGTAGGAGGAGCCTGAATAGGGCGTTGGCTGAGCCTGGAACATGCCTGTGCTCCGGAAGCGCAGCCGGAACCAGCAGAGTCGAATGTGTGTGGAGGAGGAAGGAGAAGGAGGAGGAGAAGGAGAAGAGTTGAGAGTTGAGAGTTGAGGTCGAACGGGTTGATGTGATCGATCAGTGAGCTCTTGCGGCGTCACAGCGGGCGGCAGCTGCGTCTGGTGTGTTTAGCGGCAGCTTCAGTGGCACCGGCCGGCGCTGGTGGTGCTGGTGTCCACTATGATGGATGTCCGGTTAATCTTGAGGTGAGTGTTGGTGGGTAATGGACAACCAAGTGGATTGGATTAAACTGATGTTGAAGAGAAGAAAGAATTAATGTAAGATAAGGAAAAGAAAGGCTAGGAGGGGGAAAAGAAAAAAAAAGTATAGAGCACCAGCGGCTATTATCTCTGTTTGCGTTCTTGCCTCTTTCTCTCTCGTCCTTGTTTCCTTCTTTAATATTTTTTTATTTTTATTTTTCTTATTTTTCCTGTTTCCTAGCTTATTTCGAGTTAGCGGCGGTAGCAGCGGTTAGACATGCGGGAGGAAATAAGTGGTGCAGGCGCGACGGACGGTGCCGGGGCGATGGCAAGTACGGCCGCCAAAAGTACAAGAACGGCGGCAAGTACTGGTACCGGTACCTGCGCAAAACTTTCCGTACCTTGTTCGATGCGTTCACCTGCACTGTCCAGTGCCTGTTTGTTTGTTTGCTGCCTCCAGCCTCAAACGTTCCAGAGCCGGTACTATCAAGCGCTGACCGGGGGGCCACGGGCGCCCTTGTGCTGCCTGTACGGTGCGCTGGCGGCGGGTGGGCCGCTGTGAAGCCGCGTTTTGGGGCCCTGTCTAGCGCTATGGCAGCCGCTGGAGCTCTCTGGGGGCGGGTTCAGCACGAGTCCAGGCGTCGCGGCCGATTAGCGAGCTTCGGCTGGGCCGTGGCCTTATGGGGATCACGGGACGGAAGGATATAGATTGGAAGCCGGGATTGAGTATAGAAAATTCGGAAAATCAATAATAGCCGAAGGAAGCCGAGGGGAAACAGAAAGTTGAAGGGGGAACCAGAGAGATGTAGTAACTGAGATATAAGTAAGCCAGAGTGAGGGCACAAAGAGTTCAATGAGAGCGGGACCCCACGATGGCGGCAGTCTGTACGGGAACCTCCACTTCAATTAGAGAGAAATCACAGCCAGGCCCCAATATGTAGGTACGGGCTCTGCTCGTATGTATGCGCTTAGGCTTCGGCAAGCCTAAAAAAGTGACGGCGGGATGAAGGGAGAGAAAAACATGAAATGTGACCAACTCCTGGCTTATATGCCCAGTCATGGCCTCAGCAGGCGGGTTGCAACGTAAAAGCGTGTCTGGCCCCGGCCGAGTTGCGAAATGCTCGCACATCAACTCCCGAAAGGCCTCGGCCGCGCCCTCCAGGGATGGGAAATGGAGACGAGGCTTTGGGGGTGCTTGTGCTTCTGCTTATTACCTGCTGCCTGCTGCACGCCCTCTCTTCGTCTCTACTGTATAACCAGGTATATGATATCTCTCTCTCTCCAATGAGTCTCCATGGACAGGTAGCTTCTCAACTCTCAAGCCACTGGCTGGTCAGTGCTCCAACATTGAAAGGACCTTCTCCGGACGGCTTGCAGAGACAGGCAAGTAGAATACCTCGTCCTTGTACTACTACGCTGCTGGGGTACAAGTAGCTGGAACAAGGTCCAGGATGATCAGAGACATGCATTAACAGCTCAACGCGATGTGATGGGGACAGGCAAAGCACCACAAGTGACCAGGGCCTCGCGTAGAGTACCGTAGGACTTGTGTGCTTGTCCCTGTACCACTACCGACGACGAACCCTTGTAGCCCAAAAAATCAAGGCCAGAATCAAGGAAGGATGGGAGAAGGAGTAGGAAGAGAAGATCCTGGATCGCACATACTTGTAGTTTGGCATGTAAACGTACCCATATCACAAGATTGAATGGTTATACATACATGTAGGTACCTACATAGCACTAATACAAGCACTACTGTTTCCATTTATTCAATCAAAACGCTGTAAGCCGCCCGGCTCTCGGCTGAGAGAGACGCGGTCAGGGCCCATTGGTGCTGCAGGAACAAAAGACAGGTCAATCCGGATAAAAGAAAAATCACCAGCAGGTGCAAGAGCCTCTGGGGAGACCTCTGGGGGGGGAGCGATCTGGTCCCCAGCCTAGAGTGGGCAAGGTGAAGAGGTCCGTACTAGCTACGTATTCAGCAGTTAACCCCCATGCTCGTGCTTCCAAAGAACGGTGAGAAAGACGGCCAATTTTAACAAGGTGCGGACCGGGAGAGCTTGAAAAAAAACCCGTCAGGGGGAGGGGAGTCGCCCCGGCCAAAAGAGCCCACGCAACTCGCGGGTAATCTAGGACAACGCGATAGTGCTAATAGCACTAGCAGCATGTATGTACGTGCTGGCAGCCACCACGGAGCGAGATGGAAGGGAAGGGTAGAGGCGACGATGGACTTGGGATATCCCCGTCATGCCTGGGTAGGAGCCAGTACAGCAGACAGTAGGGTTGGGTTGCAGCCTCGTCACCGTCTGTGACACTGGCTGTTATAACGCTCCCTTCCTCGATCTCGGTCTTGGCTTTTTCATGGAACTTGATACGGCCCTGGTCTTTTGTACATGCAGCCGGCACTACGGAGACGAACCCGAACCGCTGCTTCAGGTCCGCATGGCCTGTGCGATATCTTTTTGCCTCGTCTCCAAGGCTCTCTTATAGCAAGTGTACAGGCATCTTTTGCCATTGCCATTCGGCTTATTCGCCAGCTCGTTTATACGAGGCAGACGTATGTTCTCAGCTCTGCTTGCCACCCCTCACCCCCTCATCTGATACTCCGGCTTCTCTTCGTCTCCCTGCCCGTCGGCCTCTTGACTCGAGGTATTGACGCTGTGCGCTTCTCCCTTCTTGAAGCCTTTTTGTTCCTTCTAGCCCCGGGTCTTCCATGCTAGAGCGCCACCTTTTTTGCCGCTGCGGCATGGCACCATAGCATTCGTGGATGAAGCACGCAACCGACTGCATGGATCCATTACCTACTCACCTGTACTTATAACTGTTACGTGAGCCATGTATGGCAGACAAGCACTCTGGATGGAGCAGACACACACACACACACACACTCACACGCACGCACATGATACAGCCAGCCACTGCTGGGATATGCCCTCCCCTGCTGGAACTGCGTATAGGTACTTGTACTTGTTCTTGTACTGTCAAGTACTCTGCTGGGTGGATACTGTATGTTTCCTAGGGTGAGCTGTAGTGACACTTCGTGCGGGCTTTAGGTAGACACTTGTCTAGGCACTGGCTTGGTAGTTGATACTACTTACTCGTAAGTACCAGACTTGTTGATAAGAAAGGGACAGAAGGTGAGCGAACAAGCAGCTGCAATTGGGCCTTGTATCTTACCATTCATTTGTCTAGTGCGTAATCAAATAATATATGGTATAATATTAGAGCTCGACATGCGTCATCAACAACTGCCGGCGCAAATAGTATCAAAATAAAACGGCTCCGTATACGAGCTGAAAGAAGAAACAGCAAGCCTGCTTTGCTGACACACGCCGCCCGTCTTATACTGTCCCGGTCATTGCCTTTGCCTCAGTCTATGCTTCTGCCCCTGTATTACGCCAAGCACTGGAGCAAGATTGAGGCGAGCTGGAACTTGGCCGCCGGTGTCGTCATTTCTGCAGTGCATTTCGCTGATTGTTTGGTTCCAATGATTCCTACACATACCTACAAGACTCGGGGGCGCTGTAACTCACAAGCAGGTTAATGTGCCGCAGACAATGCCGCAGTTTGGTGCAAGTACATGTACAGTATCCAAAGGAACATGTACCTGGGACGCGGTTACATCGCATTGCATTGCACGAGCAAGGGACTGGAGCTTGAGGTCTAGGCACTGGACAACGCGTTGCTGCTCTTCTTTTTCTATTTTCCACTCAATCAGTACATGTCCGAATGATTACCTACATGTACCTGGTGTTGATACGTAGGCCTATAGGCCTTGCTGTTTGCTACTCGTGCTGCTATTCAGATTATAGTCCACCTGCTAATCTGTTCCTTGTAATTGAATTAGTATTCAATAGGTAGTGCTCCCGCACCTCAGAGGTATACCTACATACATGTACGTACCCAGGGCCATTTTGCTACGTCCCCGATAGCTGGGAGAAGGAACAAATGCCTGCATGTAACAGGAGGGTAGCTGCAGATTATCGAAGCCGGGGGCCACTTGGAAAAAAAACCAAGAGAGGGAGGGCAAAAAAAAGGCTACAGGGTGCGAGATTGGCTGCGTCGTTCTTCGGACCACACGCGGCAATGCCGGTCACAGCCAGGATCCCAGGAGCCTGGCAGACTGCGCGGGGGGTGCTTTTGCAAGAGGGAGAGGAGATGAAGGGAAGAAGACGAGGACGAGATGCGGGAGCCTGGGGCCGGTGCTCGGTATTTTGCTACAGGCACAGCATGTGAGATCAAATTACTACATGTAGGACCATGTACATGTCGTTTAGGTACATGTAGTCAATGTGTAGGCAAGTCTTCGTAATGTGATGCTGCTGCAGGAGGTTACGCCGCTCGTCGAGAGCGAGGCTCGGAAGCATCAACCTGCATATGCGTACATGCGGTCCACACTTGTGTATACAAAGTAACGGGTATGGCCCCCGCTCCAGTCAATGCGTATACCTATACTGCACATGTACAGTATGTTTCTGCTCTCTGGAGCCTGTGCGAGCTGCACGTCGCCGGTGATGACATGCGCGTGTGGCAGTAAAGCAGGGCGTATCGGAAACGACTCAGAGCCATCACGATGCAACGGGCGATGAGCCTCTGTGCCCGGAGCGATGCGGGCGTGTGTGCGTCTGTACTCGCATGTTGAATCCATGCTCTGTGGCACCTTGCTTTGGCACACCTATCTTGTTACTGCCGGTGTCTTTATTCAGTCATAGTTGTAGGGCTAAATAGTATAGACAAGTTGCCGAACATAA